GCATTTCAAAATTTACAAAAAAATCGATAAAATCGATAGAAGTAATGGACGATTTTGAAAACTAATATTGTATTCGGAATCCCCATGCTCACTTACCCCTGTGCCAACTCCCAGCCCCGTAGGTGTACTCTGCAAAAAATCGATAAAAATCGATAAAATCGACATCGATCGATGACGAAAAGTAGCCTATGACACCCGCCGGGGCCCGAAGTGTATGTGTGCCAAGTTTGGTTCGGATCGGTTCACAAATGGAAATTTCTTTTCGGAACATACATACAGACAGACATACAGACATACAGACATACAGACATGCAGACATTCAGCTTTATATATAAGATGGAGTTGTTGACAGAAATTTCCGTCACAAAAATCACATATCTAGAAGAGTGATAGATTTGTCTCGCGATCAAGCAATATTTTTGGTTCATCTCTTCTTTAGTGAAGAAATAAATAAAAACTACCTGAAAATTGCACCGTATTACCTATTATTAATGAGAGTGGGAAGCCACTATTTTGATGTATTACTTTAGGGCACTGATATGATTGAAAGTATTTAGCCACTTGTGTATTGTGAGCATCAATTTTTTCGCACAAAACAATTTTGTGCGTTCCCTTTGTAGACCCGACATGCTGAGATGATTGCGGCACTGAATTTCAGAATTGTAATTGGCAACTATATAAAGCAAATTCTTCCATGATTATTGAATTAATCAGCGGAAAAGTTTTCATTCTCATTTGGGGTGCAACATCGGTCTGCTCACAGTCTGTCCTTTCCCATTTCTTCCTCCATTCGCTATATCTAAAAAAAAGATCGTCTACCTTCTTGGTGGAAAACGGCTTGTAACGTAATTTGCAGACAAGTGGCTTTACAGTTCGCGTAAAAAAGTCAGTTATTGAAGACAGCAGCTTGATAAAGCCGAATATCCCAATATTTTGACATGGAAGGTTACTTGCACCCTAAACATGAAAACAGAGCAGATCCGAGCGCAGGCATGCTGCCCTTGCCTAAAACAGCCCTCAAACCCATTACGCCAAGCCATTCTAATACGCGCGGACAAGCTTGTGATTCTCCCTGACCCGTCAGAAAAGGAATGCAGCAATGTTGTAACTGCGAGTGTTCCGCAACGATTCTGCCATACATGGCGGGACGTGCTCCACTCGTCCAAATTTAAAATGGGAGGCCTTGGGAAATTGTGGTTTTCGCCGTTTTCGCGCTCTTAAAAGTGGATTTTCGGAATCAGCGCCTCGAATTACCCCAAGTAAGCAAAAAAACTTCAAATCGAAAATCTGCCGAGCCGCTGCCTTTGAATAATTATCTCCAGACATTTGTATTTGAATGATTTTAGAGAATAGAAAATGAGGACATGGTGGACCGATTCTGTAAATCTACAATAAAATGGGCAATGAGTACTTACGATAACCCAACACAAGTGGAAGAAGAAGACTTCTGCGATTATCTGGTTTCGCTGCTTGAGAAAGACCAAAAATTGCACATATATTCTAAAGTTGGGCACTCTTATCAGGTTTGCATCTCTTTCAATTAATTAGGAAAAGGCCACAAAAGGGTGATAAAAAATGATTTGATAAGGGGGTATTACCACCAAATGATCGTAGCGACAATGATAAAGCTACGTCAGGAAACAGTCTGCAAGGATACCTATAGTGAGATAAGAAACAAAGGATAAGTGGCGTGAAACTGCGATGAAATACACTTTCATTTTCTTCCTCATATTCGAAACACAGGTTAATTTTTTTGTTACAGGAAAATGCTGTTGGTGAAAAAATGAAAATGTCAAACGGTACTCATCTGCCTTTGAAACCCAACACATGCCTCGTAGTTATCCCGTAAGCCTGTTCGAACCGGTCAGCAAATGCGGCGCACTAAATGACGGGCCATTCTTATTTAGTGCCGCGCAAGCGATAGTCAAGAGTGTTATACAAGGGCTTGGCACGAGCTGGCACTATGTAAGTCTATAACTTAAGAAGGTGAAACTTGAAACACGTGTCCTGCATTCAAACTATTCATCGAACTACGAGAGAATTTGCAAGCCCTCAACGGTCATCTCATGAAAGAACCTGTTGTCAGCCCAAAGGCAGCAAAGTGTGCGTGCAGTGTTTACCCCTCTTACAAGCTCCGGTGACATCCCTTTCACTGCGTCGTATCTCACGCGAGTAACCCTTGCGCTTACAACGTGCGTTATTTCGTGTGGGCGAGCGGGTCGCTGTCAATTTCAGCATGCGTCTGTAGATGTCCGCGGGCCGTCAGTGAAATCATGAGCCCATACAGGCGTGCAGGCCACCGTCAGCATGGCACCAGCTAGGTGCGCGGGTACAAAAGCAAAAAACGCTTTTTGTAGGAAGTTGTGAGATCCAACGTAGTGATGTACGCAAAAACGACATATAGAGATCTTGACTGCGTGAACAATCCCGATAACAATCAGCTGTGGAACGTCGCTAATAGAATGACGGTATGGCTGAGTTTCTGTTTGTTATTATCATTGTGATATTCTGTTTCAGGCTAAGATAGCCAGAGCCATTTCAACAAATCCTGCACGATGTATGGAAAACGCGGAAAATAATGTTCCAGATACTAACGTTACTAATTGTGTGCACAATTGCTCAAAGCTATGGAAGATTAACGCAGATTCCCGTTCAAACAGATTCCTACAAAGATTTCATGACATTTATGAAAACACCAATCTAGGTGAGTTTAAGGCCCCGGACAGACTTCACGCGGTTTGATCGTCGCGACTCAATCGCCGACATTTCCATCAATTTTCATTTCACATCCAAAAATTTCGGGCTGAAAAAGTGCAAGTTGATCGGCATGGAATGATGTTGTAACAGTTGTCTCGTCGCGAATCAGTCGCGACGATCAAATCGCGTGAAGTCTGTTTGAGGCCTAACGCAATCAGCTAAGGATTGGGAGGGAAAAAGAAGAGGGAGTGCATATCACAACTTTGTTCTTGGTATCGGTTTGTGCTGGAACGAGTAAGTTTCAGGAAGATTTGCAAGCAAGTGCGCGTTCTATGAAGTGCATTTAAATCATGGAACCTCCAAAAAAATTCAGGAATCGCGCGAATGAACCAAACCGGAAAAAAAAATGAAGCATTAAAAAACCTCCCCGAAGAGATCAAGGAAGTGTTGAAAGGTAAAAGACAAGTTATTAAGGGCACGGTTTGACAATATTACCCATATTTAGATTTCGAAGAAGATACGCTGGGTCTCGGGCATGATGAATTAAAGCCTTGAATGGACATCAATCTTGAAGATTCTAAGTGAGCATTAAAGATCGAAAGTTGTTGTGAACTAGCAAATAGTTCATTGAAGGTGTTACAAGGATCTAGGAGAAACGGATGGAGAAAGAGATAAAAATTTGAATGGATTGATACAACGGCAAAAGGACTGGCGCCCTCACCTCTTGAAGGCCTGCAAATGGCACCGTTTAAGAAAATCGGTTAACCATTGTACATATTGCACTTCTCAAATTCAGCCGAGATGTGCGGTCTTACGGTTTCGGGTCGGGGTGGTGGGTCCCTAGTGAGAACATTACAGCAAATAGGCAGTTTAATAATTACTTTATGTACTTCAGCGACAGAAGCGTGCGGCACCAGGACATGAAAATGCCTCAGAAGTTGGAAAAAAAGAATGAGAAGATTCTAGAAAAAGATTTTTCGTAATGCGTGCTTGCACCTTTTTTGCCCTCGTAAGAATACGATATTGTTGTTCATTTTGTTGGTGTTTATTTTGTTCCGGTTTATTATCTCGTGCTGTTTCACTTTGTAACGCTGAGCAAGCTCATCGCATTTGCTTTTGCATGTACTTAGCTTTTGTAATAAACATAAGTCGAATAATTGTTTGTATATATTTATCCTCCTCAAGAATTCAGCCAGCATATCTGTCTGTAGCAAAAGAAAGAGGCGGCTATTAGCGCAACGACAATAAGTTGTTAAATATCCATACAATCTCCAGAAACAGCTGGCATATCTTTGGAAGGAGAGCGGGACAAGATATATCAGTCCGCCAAAGGCATTCCGCTCGTCCGGTTTGATGTTCGAGCGGACGAGCGGAGTACTATTAGCGGGAGAGTGAAGGGAAGTATGATGGTTGCCCGCTAAAGGTACTCCGCTCGCCCGCTTTATATCTCTAGCGGACGAGCGGCGTACCTCTAGAGGACGAGCGACGGGAGGCATGGTCGTCCGCCCGGTAAAGGCCCGCCGCTCGTCCGAGTTATTGTCTGAGCAGGGTCTAAATTATCATTTCGAAATAGCAGTTGTAACAGATCCTATTTCAGCACTTTATCATTAACATTCATATCTGAGATGGTGCATTTGCGGTGTGATGCCAAAAATTTTCTTACCTTCCACATTTGTATACGAGCAAAAGATCTTCGCAAGAACATAATTCTTCTAGCACTTTCGCTCCTAAATGAGTCAAGGGGAAAAGTAATCACTGCCGAGTAAATTGTCATTTGTGGAATGATAACGCTCGATATTTCCGTGTTATAGCACGGAACTAAGAAGAGCAAAGAATGTTTATATTTTTTACAACTGATGATCTCATTTAATTGAATTTGAAATAACTTTATGTGTCATATCATTTGCAACTCATTCTGGATCTGCATACTATGCGCGCAACCGACGACACCCTTACTAGTAAATCCACGGTAAGGCCTTTTCTAGCGGAACGAAGTGTAACTATGTATACAACTAACATATCTAAATCCATCAAACCAGAAAGGAAAAGAAGACAAGGAAAAATCTTGGGAAATAAATAGAATAGCGCGCGTGGTGGGCAAGACGCATATCAAGTTATAAAGGACTCGTATACGATTATAGAATACTTTACACCGTTGGATGTGCATCTAATAACTTTAGAGTTAGGAACTTTCAACATCGAGTATCAGAATCTTTCATCAGTTTCTTCCCATGATAGGATGAAAAGTAAAAATAACCGTAATTTCTACTGAAACGACCCTAGAGGAATTTTGTGTGTGTATGCTAAATAAACGGTTCCATCTCAAGTGGCTTCGTTTTCTCGTCATACCAAACATCTAAATAAAATTTATCATCAATGTGGCCTATTTTATATCATTAAAGCTTACCGCATTTTTGATAGTCTATGGTGACGTCATGCATCAAATTTTTGAAGAAATCACAGTCATCTAACGTAACGTTGAGTTGAGGACAATTATCGACATTAAATTTATATTGCGTAGGGGCGTAGATAGATCGTAACGAAGGTAGCTTGATGGAAGTGAGTCTAGGGAGAAAATCGAGCGCAACGGCCGGAAATGCTGGTAAAGTTCCTGGAAAAGAAGGCTATATTATTATTTTTTCCTTATTTTGTTTGTCCCTATTCGCTCACCATTCAATGAGATAATTTTCTGAAGATTTGAGAACATGGATAGATCTTTTATATCCATTGCGGCCAAATCAATATTGCCATAAATTTTGGTAATTTGCTGAAATTTTTGCAGTTCTCTAGCTGTGAAAGATCTTCCGCGATAATATAGAAGGCCAAGAATGGCAGTGCAGTCCTCGTGTATTACAGAAATATCGTCTGTAGTAGAATTGAATTTGCAGATATGAGGTGGTAAATCTTCTGAAATCATGTGGACTTCTTTTATGCCCGTGCCAACGCTGATCCAGCACCGTGCCAGTGCTGTGATGAAACCCGGCGCATATCGGTCGATTATCAGGCTTTCCGCTTGCACGGTGCTGGAACGGGCGACTGGGCGACTTTGAAAGGCGGTCTACTCGGTAAAAGACTTGTCTTGTGACTCACCTGTTGGATAAAAACCCCACACCCAATCCACAGCCATATTTGACGCTGCAAAGACTTCCATCTCATCAAATGAAAGTTGTAAAATACGATTATTCGCAATTTGTAGCTTATCATCGGTGTCAATCCGAACTAGCTTTGTTAGTCCAAGATTTTCCAAATAACCATTCAGTTTGATCTCCAAAGCTCCGTGGAATCGTGCCGCTGAAAGGTGCATTACAGTACCCGTGAGTGTTCAGAGAAAGTCCAAATCATTATGGAGGCGGTTTTCACTACAATTCGGGAGTTCTCGATTTTTACGTGCTGTAGAAGCTGATTAGTTAATCACCATTGCTGGAAAGGCAATTCAGTGTTTCAATCGCGATCGCGAAATCGAATCTCAGCGCCAGCCCAGACCGTATTTTCTACTGTAGTGCGAGCGCTGATTGGTCCACTGCGAATATTATTGGTTGAGAAAAGGTCTAAAGTTAAACTTCTTTCCTACGAATGAGTTATAAAAGCTATCATTTGGGCGGTGACTTAGTTGAGCCTCATGAGCATTATCCAAATAAAAAGTTAAAATAACCGCCTTTGGCTGTACCTTGAATTTAAGCGTTTTAGCCTAATTTTGCGAGTTTGGTCCGCATTCGCACTCAGATCTTACAACTTTTCGCCATCAATTTTGGCTACCGTAGCCATGCTCAACTGTAAGCTGAGAAGGTGTGCCTTCAGCGTGATTCACCTCGAAAGAAATTGCACTACAAAAGCGTAAAATTAAGAGAACAAACCTCCATAACAATAAATTTCTTCCAAGTTCTCCAGAAATGAAAGTGTCACGAAATTAGTATGCACAACAACTAGACAACCATAGAGTTTCGTGACGGTATGGAGTACGGCGAGTCGTTCAGGGTTGATTGCTATAAGAGCATTAGATCAGATGGGACATGAAATTCTTCTTACATCCAGTTCAAAATTACCCGTGTCTTGGAAGATGATGTCACCATAGATTGTTGTAAGGTTTGATGGAACATTAAGAATGGAAGTGAAAGTTAACGGGTAGTCAAGCTGGAAACCTGAAAATACGAGGATTAATCAACGAAACATAAGAAATCGAAAAAGAAATAAGAGAAAAGGTTTTCCTCGAAATAAAAAACTTCCCCAGTAATCTGAATCTTTGACGGCTGTTAAAAGCACAAACGTTTTTTATGCCTATGAGTTGTGGATAGGACTGACAGAACCGCGCCGCTGCAGGGGTTATAGGCTGCTGCCCGATATAGACGCAATATCTTTGGCGCAAACGCGGCTTTATTAGCCGCAGAGCGCATGAGGCCCAGGATTCACAAAGTGAAGATACGCGCGCGCCGCGTTCGCGCCCGCGCAACTAGTGTTGCTTCTGCGCGCAATCTTACCATTTAATTATGCGCTTTTTTGTGTAAAATATGCTGATCTCAGGTTCTCTTCTATCAGAAAGCTCATAAAGTCATGACCCACCACAGTCCATTTTATTTCTGATAATCACCCTACTTCCATTCAGAATTCTATCAACTTTGTCGCAATACTTGCTCATATCCAGTTTTGGATTATCTTTTACGATAATCGATGCGGAAGAGCTGCTTAGTTTATCGAGGTTGATTCGAGTAAGTAGAGGATTCTGATCGATTTCGAGGACATCTGAAATACTTCTCAAGACAATTTCTGAAAACGAGCAAAAATTTAATTTCTCACAATCGCCATCTGTCGTCAATGTTTCCAAGTTTTTCAAGAAGTTCAGCTGCTTAAGCTGTGTATTCCGGATAGCGATATTTCCATGAATCATAGTGATTCTTTCGAAGAACTTTTCCAGCTGTGTTTCGCTCATTTTAGAAGTGGAGTCGATGATGATGTTGCCTGTGATTCGCAAACATTCTGGTGACCACGGCTCCGGTATTTCTGCTGTCAAAATGCCCGAAAATTGGCATTGTAAGGGGATCACTTGAGCAAATATGTCTGCAATAAACACATGAAGTAGTTACAAGAGTGAATGAGCAGTATATTTATAAAAATTATCAAAAAATCATCTGTGGAAAATAGTGAGAAGGAATTTGAACATTAAAGTAAATTATAAAAATTATTAGACCATTCAAAGGGATTAATTAGAAAAAGATCAAAAAAAGAGGCCATTTTGTGGTTCCCATAAAGTGTCTAAATTTCAGTTGTATTAGTAAATCGATGCTCTTCAGAAAATAGAATTTTTTTCCAAAATCATTTTGCGCTTTTCCATTAGCTATAAGTAGTGAAGAGAACAGAATAAATGTCAAGAACAATTCAAATAATTAGATGATCTCACCTTTTCCAAGATATATGAACAAAAGTAGGGTTAGATACATTGTATAGCGGAAGTTGAAAAATGGTTTTGACATGCAAGTGTTGAGATTTCAAGTGCCTCACAAGTATGTTAATTGCTACTTGCGCAATGATCTATAGTCTGCAAACTATCAGCTGTTAATAAACTCGAGAACGAGAATAATTTTATGGGACCTTGCGGAAGCTGAATTTTCAAGATTTTTAAGCGAGGTATTTGCTTGGCACAACTCTAATGCTCTATCACTCAATTATTAGGGTGATCCAAAACTAATGGGGCACCTAGAAAATAGATATAAAATAAAAAAGAAAATAAATGCAGTTTTCTCAAATAAAAAAGCTAATTAAAATCCAAGTTTTGGCAAATGTTAGTACATAACAAAACCTTCTGATCGAGGTATATAGTTGGGCACTGTCACATGGCGTTATTTTTACAAGCGCTTAAAATCATAGCTCATCATTTCAAGTAATTTTGAACTTTGAGCAGCAGCGCCGTAGTAGAATAAGTGAGCCTACCAAAGATATATGCGAGCAAGGGGTGAGGGGACTGTCACCAAATCCTATAGCTCGATGGTTCCAAGGCTTTAGAACAGAAGATATAGCATTGGGTATCAGGAGACATGTTACTTGTGCTTTCATCAAGGTAATTTAAAAGCTTGATCTTAACAGTTGCTTTCTGATAGTGCTTTTCGCGCTCTATCTATACATATGCAAATTACTTCGACTTTTCTCATTTTCAAAATATTGTGGGCCAAAACATGAGTTAGTTAAAAATCTGCGCCAAACACCGCACTTTTTCGAATAAAATGCCTTTTTTGTATGAAATAATGGGCAATTTTTGAATATTCAAGTAATCATCAAAAAGGGAAGGGCTTGGGAAACTCTTTCAAATGGTATGCCATATGTCGAGGGACTTTCAGGTGCACTAGCACAAATTCGGATGGCGTTCAAAAAAGTCGGCCTGACTTCTTTGAGGCGCCGCTCGAAGGAATTCGGTGAGGTGTTGCAAGATGCTGTCAAAATAACCTGGAAAGGTCACTTTATACAAAAGCGTTCAATTGCTGGTTGTTCATAGCTATCAGAAAGAGATCTTGGAGAATGTGAAAAAAATCGAGGTCAAAATCAACAAAATCCTCAGTGAGCAAGCGGACAACTCGTACAGTGGGATAAGCGACGCTTGGGCTTGAGTACGCGGCTTAGCAGTGGAGCAGGAAATGGACGTGTTGTCCGTGTTGGAGCTGGCATGATTGCCGTCGCGCGGCCTCTTGATCCGCCGCAACGCGGCAGCGCGGCAATTCACTCACAAGTAATGGGCGTCCCCCTAGTTACAACATTCAAGGTCTGCAAATCATAGGTGGGTGATAAAAAATAGGTTGGCCATATTGAACTCTATCAACGAATCCTAGTCAATAGTCGCTATCGGAAGCACCCAAAAGCTTCCGAGGATTTTTTAGCAGATCTGATATGCATATTCTACTTGTTTTTCTTTTGATCTCTTTTGATCTTCTAAACCCTTTGTCTTCATTCTAAGCAATTTCAAATTTTAGATATCCTTCTTTTGTAAACATCGTATCAAAGTTTGACTGATTTTTGGCCTTAACACTTTTAACCTATCGAATCGTTGTATTGCCAAGAACGAAGGTTCTAGTCTAAATCCAAACCGATAATTTTACTAAAAATTTATTAGAGAAAATTTATTGTCACTAACAATGTTCCAGATCTTATGCAAAATCATTCATGTGAATTCTTCTTCGTTATAACAAGAAGTGCATATGCTATTTAGCTGAACTTGACTTAATACACTGCTAATAAAACCCATTGCTATTTCTCCCCATGTTCAATTATATCGATTTTGATGAAAGTTTGATACTAATTTTCCTTTTATAAATCTTTCCTATTACTTCTAAGGATGTGACAGCTAATCTCCTATTTCGAATAAGAGTAAATTATCACCTTCCAAGTCAATTAAGACTATCTCCATTCTAACAATCATGTCTCTAGAATTCGAGGTGACCAATCACGACATCGATCACGCGCGCACCTGTTCACTTTGCTGATTTTGTTGTCCTCGAACAGTAGTGAATTTCGGAAATTTTCCGGGAGAAATATTCGTCAAAATGAGAAATCTTGCCAAAAAACCCGCATAGGTTTTTCTTGTGGGAGTGGTCACCGCGCCAGGGCCCAGCGGGAGGTGGCGTTTGAGAATTTGAAAGCGAAGTCCCCCTTGACATTGCAGATGATTACGAGATACCTTTTGTGGTGTTTGTAGAAATACGGCTAATAACCTGCAGCGAACGATGAGTGAATGGAAGTCAGGAATAGACAAGAAAAGTAGGAGATAAAACATCAAAACGTGAGAAAGTGGTTTTTATATCATTCAAGGGCCGTGGCAAAGCAGAGGAGACGAAATTTAGGTTAAGATAAGTATGCTCAGGTATAGTTCGAACTGAGGAATAGACTTATGTAAAAAATTTTTGAAAAATTATGTGAAGAAGGGAGAAAATCATGAATTTGTTAGGCCGCGCAACCTTAGGGTGCTTTCAGGTTGCGCGGGAGCAACCTAAATTAGAAAAACATTTACAACTCTTTTCATTCACATAATTTATTCATAATTCTTCATAATTTCCTTTTGATCGTGGTCGCGAAGCTACACACTAAATTTGGTGGCTCAATTTTGCTTACTGGTTGTAAACAAACTGATTATTTATTTTTTGTGCATAAAAATTGTGTTTTAAACGTTGAAATCGTGTGCACATAGGTCTGAGAGCTTATCCTGTTTGTAACGTGTTAGTCTACGTTATACTTGTGAAATGACGTCAGAGGTGAATCAAAGGCAGTGTCTCACCCAAATTTAGTTGCCGGGATTTTTGCGTTTTGCAAGCCTGTCGGACCCTGTCTAGCACTGTATGGGCTTAAAGTCGCACGAAGTTCCCAAAAACCCCGTTTACTTGGAGGCCACGCGGAAGCAACATGGACGAGTTGTACCTTCCAACTCCAGCCTCAGCCGCAGTGGCAGCAACACAGGGGAGGTGGATGCCAAGTGGAGGGACATGTACAAACGCGTAAGGGGGAGACCGACGGAGTCGTCCGCGCGTACCAACTCGCTCTCCGCGTACCACTTTGAGCGAATTCTTCTCAGCGTGGAGGGGGTCAAATTGAGTGGGACCTGTTGCAATGGCCTATTTAGAGCTCCCTATTTTAGAATATGTGAAGATCCGCGCGACCTCAACTTTGGTGAGACACTGCCTTTAAGGGCTTGCTAAGGGTTAGCTTTCGCCCACTATATTCAATCAGATTCCCGCAGACAACTCCTGGAAACTCGCGTTTCCTTTTGCTTTTCTCTAAGAAAACGACATCCAGCATGTGAAAGCGCAACCTCTGCTGAGCTTTGCATCTCGCTCTAAGCAAGTTCATAATATGACTCAAGAACTTTCTTGTTACGAGCTTAACCAGTTTAAATGGCGATTTGGAAGTCGCACGCCATCTAAGGCAGCTCCAGTTATAGAATTGGAGAGCTCTTCTTCACTAAGCTACTTTATTCAGGTAATTTGCAAACATAGTGCAATACAATAGTAATCACATTATTGCTTGATCATGCATGGAGAGCAGGGCTCGGCACGAGGTTAGTTGATAATGCAAAGAACGAAGTCCGCCTTTCGCGTATTTTTACGAAGTCCCTTTTGACCCTGACCATAATCCTAAAAAATCTCCAAAAAAAACGAATTGTCTACCAGAAAAACGTCGCCAATTTTTTGTCTTTTCGGCCACAAAAACGAGACCCCCTTTGCTTTTTGTCCCAAAAACGATATCCAGCTTGCTTATAAGCCACATGTGCTGAGCCCTGATGGAGAAAATACAGTTGAGGAGCACTTTTGTCCAATATTCCCCTCTCTACACACCACGATGTGCTTGCTAAACTAAGTCCGTGTATTTCAACATAGCTCTCCATGTAGGTAACAGCTGTGAGGTACTGTTTGATGGCAATAATTGCTTGCCCTCTCTTATTTGTAGAATGATGTATGATGTAAATTTGATTGAAGCTTGCCATATAGATGGTACTCTATTTTTTTCAATCAGGATTTTTTCTAATTTTTGAGATCTCAAAATTTATTTTGAGTGTGCCGATATAACCGACACCTCTTTATCGCACAGATATATGTTGTATTTGTAATTCATTTCGTTGCTCTCTTTCCTCCCGCTGGCCGGAGTGTGCCGACGTTGTCGGCACTTCCTAGCAACCGTATCTCTACTGTTACCGAAGTACCTTACAGGTCATGCCATAAGCATGACCTGCTGTGATAGTGTGTTATGTTACTCTACCACGCCTATTATGGTCAGCATTCTACCACTGCACTAATGCGTGCACGTCGTCTGACTCAATAAAGCTACTACAGCTAATGTGTTCTGTATAACACACTTCAACAGGCGCTATACCGCCTCAGGCAACGTTAACACGCGTTAGCCACCAGAATCACCGATACATTGAGCGTCAGCTGCACTTTATCAATCACTATAAAACGCGGTTTTCTCCCTGAGGCCGTACTTATCTTCACTATCCCCGGCATCAAAATGCGTAAAAAAAGGCAATCTTTCAAATTCACGAAAAAGAGATTTACTATCTCTTCACACAACGTTCTCTTCGTGCGTTGTGAATGAGTTACTTGTCATCACTTGAGAGGAAAATTTCAGGATAGAAACTGTGCAGGTTTTAACTTCGCGTAAGTTTGTGTTTACCATTCGATTCATCTGGCTTGGCTTCGGGAAGGCGGGGCTTCTTGAGCCAATTAAGTCTAGGTAATACAGAGGGCAGTCGCGCAAGAGAGACGCAGGTGCGACACTGGCGCGAGCGGCCTTAATTAGGTCACAGAGCTCCGCCTTTCCGAAGCCCAGCCAGTTAAATCAAAGGTTATTTCCCGTGGGTGGAATATGTATGTATGTGCATGCCATCGTTGTCTACGGTACCTCCTCTACACCTCCCCTTCCCCCCACCCCCCCCCTCTAATAGTCATGCTAGGCACTAATCTGTTGAATTCCCCGTTTGGTTTTTTCCACTCAATGTGTTCTAGAGTTTCTGTAACCTTGCCGTATGCGTCATGACTGAGCAACGAAAAATTGTTGGACAGTAAGAATCATCGCTGAACAGCTTTGATTTCTTCGTAACGCTTCTCGCATTTTCACAAATTTTAGGTCAACTTAGAATTTTTATGTACATGTTTCCACCTATCGCTTATTGCGATAGGAGGCGGAAAAAATGTAAAAATTTTCGCACCACTTGATTGATTTTGATATTCTTCAGCATCTTAACGATTCGAGTCACTTTTCAGGATGCTGTCCTAGAATGCTTGGGTAGCGGTATAATTAGACATATGCATTCGCATTTTCTCCTATGTCAGGATGTTCAGAATCGAATTCTCCAAATAGATCAATTTTTGCTCCTTCATTAATCCTATGACACTCACTACAATACCGCTCACATTTTTTGAAAAATAGACGCGAATATATGGACATGTCCATACATGTATATCAGCGTCGCGTGGCCATAGCTCGCTTCAGAGTGGACGAATTCTGAATCCAAAGCAACCATTCGATTCAGCTCGGCGCGGAGAATCTTCCGATATTTTGAAAGTGGGGGTACGATGTCTTCGATATTCCGTTTCCAGTTTTTTCAATTTGTTCTGCGGAGGTCCTTTCGCGAATATGTGAAGCAACGTCTACCCAACATAGAAGACTTTACTAAGTACTAGTCGATAATACTGTTCTTGTAGATTATTGTGCGCTAAAAAATAGGCCCAGACTTCTTTCCAAAGGAGATAGAAGCGTTGGTGAATTTTGGAAAAATCACGCGCTTTTAAATTCTACTCGCCATAACTTCCTTTGGAATAAGTATATTTTGAATCCGAAAACAGAGCCTTGCTCAGCTCATCAAGGCGAATCTTTTTATATACAGCATGTCCTTGATATTTCGATTTCAGTATTCTTGAATCTTTCTGAGGACGTCTTTTCGCGAAGGTGTAAAGCAGCGAGCATTGTCCCGAGTAAATTCCAGCAAGGATCTTTCGATAGCACTTTTTCTATAGATTCTGATGTGCTAAATAGTAGTCGCAGGTTTCTTTTCAAAGGAAATAGAACGGCTGGTGAATTGTGGAATTTCTTGTCTTCCCAAATTCTACTCGCCATAACCGCAGGATACGAAGCTATCTTGCTAAGCAGATGTGAGTTTCGAAATCAGCAGGTCGCATAACCTCTAAGAGCAAGTTTTCCGATATGTTCTTTTTTTCTCGTTTTACGCTCGCCGATGGATTTTGGTCAAAATGTTGATGCTCTTGAACTATAAGGAAACTTCGCTTATAGAGGTTTTCGTACACGCTCTTTACGAAAATCGTGGTCTTTGAGGATTACAGGGTCTTTCTGGAGAGCTATGGTGAGGTGACTGTAACTGCATCACGAAAGTGCGTAAATTTGCCCGCACTTCTCGCGTATCTATCAGAAACCTTGCCTGCTTGCTTTTCTCAATCAAAGTTAATAGGAGTTGTGCTATCGAATGGTGCATGACTCAGGCTCCATTCTGTGAGATTCGGCGAGTTACGAGCCTACGAAAACACGTCCTCATGAATTTTGCCCAAAATGTAAAGATCGCATATTTCATCGAAATTCCTCCGTGAGCGCTTGTACAACACGCTGATCAAATCCTTCCACATTTTGATGGATCTTATTGTGTTAGATTTGGTACTTTGAGCTCTAGCCACGAAATAGCTTTGATATTCAATTGAGCAGCTGAAGCAACGCAAGCACCATATTCAATCCAGTGAGAGTCGTTGGACGAAGCGAACATAATATCTGTAGCGAGCGTCATACAAGCGCTCACGGAGGAATTTCGACGAAATATGCGATCTTTACATTTTGGGCAAAATTCATGAGGACGTGTTTTCGTAGGCTCGTAACTCGGCGAATTTTTTAGACTGAAGCCTGAGTCATGCACCATTCGATAGCACAATTCCTAGTAACTTGGCTGAGAAAAGCAAGCAGGCAAGGTTTTTGACAGATACGCGAGAAGTGCGGATTACGCACTTTCGTGATGCAGTTACAGTCACCTCACCGTATCTCTCCAAAAAGACCCTGTAATCCTCAAAGACCACGATTTTCGTAAAGAGCATGTTCGAAAACCTCTTAAGCGAAGTTTCCTTACAGTTCAAGAGCATCAACATTTTGACCAAAATCCATCGGCGAGCGTAAAACGAGAAAAAAAGAAATAACCCGAACATATCGAAAAACTTGCTCTTAGAGGTTATGCGACCTGCTGATTTCGAAACTCACATCTGCTCAGCAAGATAGCTTCGTATCCTGCGGCTATGGCGAGTAGAATTTGGGAAGACAAGATTTTTCCACAATTCACCAGCCGTTCTACTTCCTTTGAAAAGAAACCTGCGGCTACTATTTAGCACATCATAATCTACAAGAACAGTATTATCGAATAGTACTTAGTAAAGTCTTCTATGTTTGGTAGGCGTTGCTTCACATATTCGCGAAAGGACCTCCGCAGAACAAATTGAAAAAAACTGAAAATGGAATATCGAAGACATCGTACCCCCACTTCCAGTATATCAGAAGATTCTCCGCGCCAAGCTGAATCGAATGGTGGCTTTGGATTCAGAATTCGTCCACGCGACGCTGATGTATGGACATGTCCATACATGTCCATGCATTCGCGTCTATTTTTCAAAAAATGTGAGCGGTATTGTAGGCTGCAACCTTGCCAATACACAAGATTTGTTATTAGCCTGATAGATGTCATAGCGTAACACCGAGTATGTTAATCATCTTTTCCTTGAGTTTCGTTAGAATAACCACCATCACAAAGAGTTCCAAGGAGCACCTAATCTCGCTTTTTATGATTGGGCATTTAAAGATATTTATTGCGCCCATTCCTTTAGTGCTATATTTCAGAAAATGTTTTACAAATTATTGCTCATTCTGGTTTTGGTACACGTATATACAGTGATAGGCTGTGGTATACTTAAGTGCTTTCGTCGAAATAATAAAGATGACGACTACTATGGAACTACCACCAAAATGCCTGATACATCTCAGAAAAAACTCTTCGTGAGTTCTAACTTCCAATCATGATTTGTATTCGCTAAGTCTTTACCTTTACAGTGCAACAACTTATGTAAGGAATATCACAAGGCTCTGAAAATGTCTCGACGCAAGTGCGTTGACATGTGCATGAAGCTTCGGAGATTGCGATCTACTTCTAGAGAGAATCATAACACGCAAAAACGGAACGCCGTTGCGTCTGATACGTCTGATCGTCCGTCCGCAGTCCTTACGCGCTACGCCCTCCCCGAAACGTCTATATAAAGAGCTTGATGTCTAAATTTTTGTCTATATGTATGTTTCGGATGAAAGATCCTTACATGTTTTAAGGACTGAGGGACTGATCCCTGCACTGAGAACCAGGGTCAAGCGTGTTGATGCGATCCGGGACCCCCAATAGCGACCCCCCTTGAAGGAACCCACCCCGCCCCATCTATCCCCCCCCCCCCCTCCCCATCTACTCCCATACCTCCCCTGCCCATTCCTCGCGGTAACCTTAAAATGCAATTTTAAAAAACACCTGCGTGAGAACTTCAGTGAGGTTTCGGAAGCAGAATTTTTAGGCCAATGGGTGCGCCCAGCATCTGTAGTACACATACGCACCTTCAATAGTGTTGTAAAAATAGTGAAATTCTGCAAGTTTTTTTTTGAATTTTCAGGCATACTTCAGGCCAGCAAATTCGGTTTCCCGTTTGCGACACAAATTTTTGCACGAAGAAGAAAATTGCATTCTTGAACTACAAAAGATGTTTTCGACTAAGAAGCTTACGTTCTACCTCTTGCACAAAAAAACCGCTTTAGCGCCATCCAGAACGATGTCAAGAACGTGCTTAAAGGCAGTGTCTCACCAGATTTAGAGTATACCAGATTTTCACGAAGTTTGTTGGAGGACCCCCTTACTAGGCCAATGCCCAAGTCCCACTTTATAAGGCCCTTCCTACATCGAGAAAATTCGGCTCAAAGTGGCTCGCGGAGCGCATTTCGGCTCGCGCTGGACGAATTCTGCGTTCCTCTATCGCGTTTCAACATGTCCTTCCAGGCGACGCCATCCTTCTTGACTTGTTCATTCCTGTGGCCAGAACTGGAGTGAAGCGGGAAAGCTCGCCCGCGTCGCTTCTGAAGGGGTTTCGAAAAACGGGGTATCCGGAGTTTTTGCGCAAATTAGAGCCCGTTTAGAGTTGCTCAAGGTCGAGAAGACTTGTAATTTGCAAAAATCCCAAGATCCAAATTCTAGTGAGACACTGCCTTTAAGCACGGTAGTTTGAAAATTCGTAACTAAGGCCAGGAAAAGACTGAGAGGCTGCATCAAACAGGTTCTGTAGTATAGTGTCCAGATTATCCACAGAAAAAGTTTTAGCCCTTGAGGAGCAATGAGCTCGAAAAAATCTAGATCAGGCTCTCGCAAATTTAAATGCGATTCTAAAAAGCAAAAACTGGGATTTTTTAGCTTAAAATTTTGTAACTTACCAGAGAAGTTATGAAACAGCCTGAAATTCTTATGATAAGTTGCAAGTTTGCAACTAACAAGCTTCAATAGCTCTGGAGAAATTTAGATCAGGCGCAGATACGACCCCCCTTTTCTCATTTTTTGCTACCATACATAAAATCATAAGAAAATCCACAGTTTATAAAATAACACCAGATTTCGCACAGCAATAGCAGGGCTTTTCTAAAGTACAGATAAATCACATGGACCCGTGAAAAGCATTACAAAAAGATTTAGAAATTTATGATGGTCACAGCTGGTAAAGATATTCGCTTTTGTCGAGTGCGTGAGACTTCAGGAAGGATTCAGAAGCAAGATTTCTAGGGCAATTGGTACATTTATCATTTTTATCAAATCATACATTCTTCAAAAGTGTTTTGAGCCCTTGTATGTTTTTTGAGGATTTCTACATATTTTTTTTATCTTTTTCATTCTGATTTCCACTTTTTTTATAGATTTATTGTAAAGAACATAGCTAATTATCTGTTTTTTGATTCTCTTTTGATCTTAAGGTATTTCAGCTTAACTACCTCCTTTTTACGACTCCCCCCCCCCTAGGTATACCCTCTTTACGACCCCACGTTGCGACAGTCGCATCACAAGCTTGACCCTGCTGAGAACTTTCTCAAATTGTCGTTAAAACCATATTGTAAATTTACAAGGTACTTGTGATACATTTTTGACGAGCTGTGTTTTCTGATCTAACGATTCGCGTGATATAAGTAGAACCCCGCACCTTTTCATCAATAGACTTGATCAGCAATATTTTTTAGCTGTTCAATCAACAATTCTCTACAACTCGAAAGCAGAAAGCTAAGTAAAGCTTTTTTCGCCGAGGAAGAGACTTTCGATTAAGCTTGGGGCACGAAGTTCATAATTTGAGAGTGTACGGTCAGACAAGACTCGCTATTTTGAAATATGCTCCCTGTACTTTTCCAACCTTGTTGATATCTCTTGCGATTGCGATTCCAAATCTGGGAGTAGTAATCGAGATCAGAACGTAAGTGCCTTACAAAGGCGCACAAGATACAGGGCTCCTAAATTGCAGAGTCGTTTGCACCAGCGGTCGCGCGACCGCGTCGCGCCCGGGCATCAATGGCGCCGCCTCGATCGATGGCGCCGGCGCCGGCGAAATGCTCGGGCGCGACGCGGTGGCGCGACCGCTGGTGCAAACGACTCTGCAATTTAGGAGCCCTGTAGGTGAGATAGGTGCAATGTCGGTTGCATTTTAGTCTGGTCGTGCAAGGTGGTTCCTTATAGTTAGATCTTAATGTTATCCGCACATATCTAAATTTTACACTTGCAATGTTCAAAGAATGTTCTGCAAGTCTAGAGTGTATTAGGCTGCTGCATAAGTTTTGTGTTTTGCAATTTTGAGGTTCAGAATGTCGTAACTTTTTTCGATATCGACTTTTCTCAAAGCTCGATTTCTCAAAATTAGGCAAGCTTTTGGCTATCAGATAGATAATTTGCCTTAAAAACACTACTGTACACGAATCTATGTTGGGAAAATTGCAATTCCCTTTAGCCCCTTCTTTCTTTGACACTACCCTATAAGAACTGGCAGGCATATTCGGTAGCCATCACTGAGTAGCAAAAATTTTGGAGATTATTTTGAGGCTAAAAAAAAGGTCTTTAGAATTTTTGAGAACCGCAAATTTTTTTAGTGAATGTAAAAGGCCAGCATTTTGTCCTTCTTTTGTGATGTTTTTCAAATCAAAAAGTTTCTACATACTGTAGGAAATTCGAAGAGGGTTTCTAAACATTGGGAGCCGTGTTTTGCTTAAGAAAGGAAAACAAAAAAACGCAAATTTCAAGTCAGTGACCATAATGCTCTTTTCCACAAGTTATGTCAAGTCATCGCAGCAAATGTTTTCAGGAGTTTCTAGAAAAGTTTGATGTAAGATTATCGGAAATGTGATTACACATCAAAATCTTGAACAACTCGTGAGTTGCATGGGTGTAGGGCGTTAGGCGACAAACCCAATTTTTTGGACCCCAAAGAACTCCCCGTGCAAAACGTCTCCTCCGCCAAAAACAGGGGGGTGGGGGGGATACATTACCCGACGCCAGTGAAAAAATGGTGCATAATTTTGAGTTACGGGATTTACGTTGCTTGCGTTTTGCACGTTTTGTCGCCTAACGCTTGCCCTCCCTTTGGCACACTCTCCTCTGCACTCTGAATGGAGGGAGATCGTTGCTGCTTGAGGAGGGGCCGAAACATCCTTTTGCGCGGAAATTAACGTAATAGCTAAGAATTCATAAACTGCACCAAATTAAAAGGTATAGATAGACGCACTCGAAAACGACTGAAAAGAAATGCCAACAGATAGCATATGCTTTTCTCAAAAAGTTCAATAATATTATAGCTTGTAAATGTCTAGTAACGGAGGAAATTATCGAAGTCTAGGTTGTTTGATGTTAAACGCTTGCGTACATTTTCTTTTCCTCGATAGGCTAGAGGTTTCGTCAGGAATCTATAGGTAAGGAAAATATCTATTTCTTAATGTCGCAGTGGTCTAACGGAACGGGGAAGCATGGGGAGTAATTTCGTTGTAACTTCAAGAGTTTTTCGAATGTGGAGAGGTTACAGCTGAACAACACAATGCCAGCTATTTGATTCTCCTCTCTCACTGAGCTAGAAAATGCCCTCGTGTTTTGACAGCTCCTCTCCAATATCAGGACACGCAGCTGTGAAAAACTTCGATGGCACTAGTTTGCCTGCTCTCTCTCTCTCTTAATTGTTGTCTGTATTGCATGATGTAGATCAAGGAGACCGCCATAAAAATGGCAATATGAAATATTACCTCTCCAAAAGAACTGATTCTGATACTCCAAGATTTCTTCCAAGCGCCAAATGTATTGTACAAAGAGGGTAGGCCCAGAAAGAGCGCATTTTATCCCTAAGACGTCCCTGCAGCAGTTTTTTTCTGGATTAGGTCCCAACAAAGAGACAGGAATTAGTAGCAAAGTATGTATCACAAGAATAGAGTACGTCTTCCTTCAAGGGGGCGCTTGTTTATCTGGGTGAAATATTGAACCATTTTACGCGGTTTCCTCATATTCTTCGTACTTGCTTCTTATTTTCTATTGCTTGTTTTTTGAAAGAAGTTCAGGAACGCAAACGCTTTTACTTCACGTAAGTTCTTGTTTGCTTCTGATGTATCTAGTCTGAAGATTATTTATATGCATGCTGACGTATGATTGTGGTGTCCCCTTTACTTTTTCCTCACACAACTGCATCTACCTTTTTAACCAACTTGGCGGCTGGAAGGCGGGGCTTTGTGACCTAAATAAGGCTAGGTAATGATCGACAGCACGCGCGCGACAGAGACGCAGACTGCGTCGTGGACGCGAGCGGCCTTAATTAGGTGACAAAGCCCCGCCTTCCAGCCGCCAAGTCAGTTGAATCAAAGCTTAGCCGTTATACTCCTGCTGTTCAAAACTTTGAAATTTAATACCCCTTTTGGTTGAACTTTTTCTGAAATTTGCTCATGAGGTTGTATTGTGTGTCTCATTTCAGAGGAATGTCTTACAAATTGGTATTAATAATGCTGATGCTTGCATATGCTACAATGGGCTGTGATTCATTCAAGTGCTTTTTTCCACGTAAAAAGTACAGTAACGACTCATATGAAACAGCTACGACTACTAATACTATCACTAATACTGGAAAGCCACATACCATATGTGAGATCAGAAAACGTTCTGTGAGTTTGTACTTCTGAACTTTGTGTTCGTGGGATGTTCATGTGCTTTTTCAGTGTAAAGTCCTTTGTTTGAATAACGACTTCCCAGAAGTTTGTGCGAATTATTGCGTACGCTTTAGAGGATGCCTGGAGCTACCTTCGTACTTGTTATCCGAACGATAAAACTGCTATTTTCTTCCACATCGTCAACATCAATGCATAAATACATATCCTTCGCGTTCAAAGTGTTAGATAGCCCAAATTCCTTTCCACTCTATATGCTTCGCTGCATATCTCAAGAATCAAGGAGAAAATTCATGCTTACGAAAGTTAAACTTATTCGCTAGGTGAGCATGTTTAAAACAATTTGCGAAGCTGTCTTTATGTAGAATGAACTCACTCTGATTTCTCTAACAACCTGAATATTGCGATGGTGAAATTGCTTATGTATGCCAGCCGTTCAAGCGCCTTCTGGTGCCGCTCATCTCGATGTTAACTACCATTGATGATAATGTATCTTTGAAATGAAATTACCATCAGGATCTTGCTAGCATTATCTGGCTCATCTTTTTTTTGCTAGAACTTTCCGTACTTTTCAAAACAGGTTATACTGTGATACATGTATATCAAAATGCTCGCCTCGATGCTTATCTCAAAACTTTTGTGCATCCCCCAAAATTGTTCCCATACAAATCGTCAACGTGGCTGCCTTTCGATCGTTTCAACACGTTAACTCTAGCAACTTTAAGGCGCCTATGCGAAGTCGACATGTTAAAATGATCGAAAGACAGAATTTAATAGTTCACGTGGAAACAGTTCTGGCCCGGCATGCGTTGGTTTGGAGCATGTTGGAACCGAAGTCCCCTTTGACGTCGGAATATCAGTAGAGAAACCTTAGTCGATCAATGTAACAACAAAAAAGCGAAGAAAGCGTAATTTGAGGCATTTAATATAACTATAAAGTAAAAAACGTATTTTGAGTTGCTTACAGGCTCTATTATAGAGTATGGTACCATTTTAGTGCTCATTATGTCAAAAATCTCTTAGGCCAACCAAATCTGTAGCCTCAACAATTTGGTGAAGCACAGGGTCAAACAAGAGGTGTGGCAGACGATCGCTGGTTGACCCCCCCCCTTTGCTGTCTCAGTAAGACCCCCTAAACTATATACCTAAGATAGCTTTACTTGAAGGCCCTATCAAACATAACGCGCAACATATCCATAATTAGCATGTCAATTAAGCCCTGCAGACAATGTTTAAGCGAATTCTGAAGTTTCAAGATACCTGATCACCTTGAAATCGCCATATTCCAGCATGATTAACTTTGTTTCAAAGGTATAGCTGGCTGTTTTTGCACTCAAGATAAAACGCTACTCCTTCTTTGGTCACTTCAGGAATCTCGCTCTAAAAGACCTCCTAACTTTGGAATTAGAAGCCAACCAAAATCTTGTTTTTCCTATTTTTCGCTTTTAATGGCTGTACTTTCACCAAATATTACTCAGAGCTAAGAAGACGAATCAGGCTCAAATCACTCCTCTGAAATCTACGAGGGCTACGCTATTGATTCATATTAATAATGTTCGCTAAAAATGTTTTTTTGATATAGTTAATGGGGTGTGGCACCACCCCTAAAAAGCAGAATTTGGGGTGTTCGTATAATTATGAACCGCACTGTACCAGATTTGAAGCGGTATTTAACAAAAACAGATTTGAGAGAAAGAAAAGTTGATGAATGAATGCAAATAAGAGCGACTTCAAGTAATTCAGGAGAATCGTATCTGATTGAAATTTTATTAGAAAAAAGTCATATACACGGTAGATAGGGGGTTTAAATTTTTTGCTCTGACAAGCTAGTCACCTGCCTATCTTGAAAAATCCGGTCTGTAAGATAGGAGGTTGCTTCTACTAATATTTGCTTTCTTTTGATTCTTCTAACATAATTTCTGGCGATTTATTACTTTCTGCATCTATGTTGATTGCATTATCCAAGCAGGCTTTAGCAGCGATCTATCGAATCCACAACTGATGAGATATGCGACGCAAACTTTCACTTTTTGTTTTTTTTTTCAACATTATTACGTCTATTTATTTTCTACTGCGACGATCTTTTATTTAGAGAAACTGCCAATAGCGCGACGACCAGAGTTCCACGGACTGAATATCGCACGCTGTAATTATAAATTTCATTTAATAATACGAAACGAACCATAACCGCTATTATGATTTGCTTCACTGAAAATGTAATTTTCATGATACAAATTTCCTAAGTGTTTTTCTATCAATTTCAAACCGATTTTAGCTATTGCCGAAGCAGTTTATTTCTCCAAGGTAGTATAGTTTGCATCAAATCAAATTTACAAATGCACATTCGAATATAATCTATTCGTCATTCGATTGCGTATAACTTTTCAGATATCGAATATGTTTGATTTTCAAACAAAAAAAATTGAAAACCAAACATAAAAATGCTATAATTCAACATATCCACTTATTCGAATGGTTGCCTTAGATATTAAACTTGCAAAATAAGCGAGGCAGCTTTTTTCCAGGCGCGACTCACACTTTGTAGCGTATGAAAGAAAAACTCGCGAGGAAAAGAAAAACCAATTTCCGCCGGGCCCTGTGGACAATATTTTTGTAATCAGCATGCTCACTTACCCCCTTGTGCAAACTCCCGGCTTCGTAGGAGAAAATTCGCAAGTCGATATAATTGATATCGATCAATGACGAAAGCTAGCCTACGACACCCGCCTCGCCCATGAAGGCATGTGTACCAAGTTTAATCCGAATCGATCCCGAATAAAAATTTCTATTCAAAACATACGTTCAGACATACATATATAGGCGATTCGTAGCACGCAAAGACTGCGGACCTATCTGCATCTCTATGATCAAACGCTATTTCGTTCCCCTTACCACCTGCTGCCTCTCCCATGCACGAGCTATCTTGCTCGGACGCAAGGGCGCCCAGTCTTTGCATATTTTGAATTGCCGGTACATACATATAGGGCATTCAAATCATGACGATGACGCGACCGCGCGCGACACACACGCACCTCCCGGCAACCGCATTTTCTTGGTCTTCATCTCTACTTGAATGATTTTTCTGCTTACATATGACAATGTTTAGATATTGGAAGTGATTGAGCTGAGAGCTAAGGCGATGCCTTTTTGTATGAGTGTTTTCTGCTCCTGTGGGTGCAAAGACCGAAGTGAAATCCGTCGTCACGATTTTAACGACCTATACATACATACAGAAAGACAGACAGACGAATAGACAGACCAGACAGATAGGAGGCAGACAAATAGACATTCAGCTTTATTTTACAGTCAATGATAGAGTAGCTCAAAAAAGCAAGTTTTATTCTTTTTTGTAGTCGTCACCGTCCACTGCTCCATAGTCGTAGTTGCCGCAGTATCTGATTATTTTGAATATAGTCTTCAAATCGGGCTCAGTTGCCTGAACAAGGAATTCGTTTTCTTGTTGGAGCAACTTTTCGGAACCTAATGGGGAAGGCTTGACATCAACTAAAACTCACATTAAGAAAACCAATCAATTGCTTGTCCCCTAGAACTGTTGACACAAAGCTATGGCAAGAGATTGGACACCATTCAAACCACCTATCAGGGTTGCTTACTTTTTGCGAACATTCATACATCATCGTCTGGAGATAAAACACGATGACGGGTATAAATTTTGTTTTAGTTTGAAAGTTTTTACGGACTTTATATAAGTATTCTTCATCAGTTGATGAATCGGACAATTTGCGTTCAAGTTCGAAGAGAAGTTTCTGGCAAACTTCGGAGCAGTGCATCATCTCCATTGCTGATGCAAAGAGTGGGATGAACGTCATAATCAGTAAAAGTTTCATGTTTGCTTTGAGAGGTTCTGAAACGGAAAACATTTCAATTTGTATTGAGAAAGCAGTAATCGTGCTATTGTGGCTATCTTTCTCAAACGTAAGTCTTACTCAAAAATCTTGAAACACATAAATAACTCCTCTAATAAGTCTTTCACATTCAATATAAACCTGAAAAAAGGAGCTTACTATAAAAAAATTTTTTTTAACTTCCGTCACTTCAAATGCCAAGAGGATCAAGAACCTTTCGCTTCGATATGACATACCCTTTCCAACAATCAAATCAACAACAACTTTGAGTAGTAAGAGGATTTGCACTTAAAAATGAGCAAAACGGATAGTGCTTCTAAGTTGTGTTCCAATTTTCTTCTAAAATTTATTTGGTTAAAACAAAACTAGTATAGGCAATAAAATACTACACATTCTCTAAACAACGATGATTGAAAATTTTGGTGCAACGCTTATGCTTCAATCTAAATAGAATGTCAGAGAACAATGAAAAATACCTTCATCTCGCGCTATATATAAAGTTTTGAGTACGAAACATTTGTTGAAACATATTCATTTTGCCAGTCATCCCATCGCTTGTTTATCAATTGTCAAAAATAGCACAGCCTGAGGAAAGTTTATTGGAATTTTTATGAATGTGCTGGATCACAATCATCAAATAAGTGGACGATGCCATCAACATGAGTGATTCATAACAAATTTCACGGTGTTTTATTCACAGAGAAAATATTTTGAATGACTTGATGTCCGTTATTCAGAAACATTATTCATTTTCGCCATTGCCTTGTCATTAGTTTGGCATCCAATTGCAAACTTTCTCTTTTCTAAGCGAAAAATATGAATAATTCAGGTCGATGAAACTGCTTTTCGTATTCTCGTTCTTTGCTCGTAATATAACATACCTGATAATAGACATTGTTACTTGAAAGCTTGTGAAATAAATTGAGAATCGGAAGAGACAACATAAAATATTAATGAATTGTAGACAGAAAATGGGCTACTTCTAAGTCTTCAACTGAGGATAATGTGGACCGAGGGGCCGAAGAAATATCAATACAAACAAAGCTAAGATAATATTCTTTTACTTTACTATAATATTCTTTAACTTTTACTATACTTTTAATTATTCTAAGTTATGATAGAATTGTGACTGCAAAGTACCGTCGGTGCGTATTCGTGAAGAGCTACAGCAAACCGATGCCATTCATGCTGCCAGGATAACGATGGAAAGAAGAAGGGATAAGTGCGACCTTCACGCAGCGTTCTCCGATCGGAAGAAAACGTTCTATAAAGTGCCGCTTGATGTCATATGGCGGTCTCTGTGGAATGATATGGTGCCGGAAGATATGTGCAGTGGATCAAATAATATACAAGGATGCCACTAGCCACGTACAAACAGCAGCAGGGTGATCAGAAGCCCGTAGTTCATTGAAATTTAATACTGTACCACCGCTCTTCATCAAGGTCGTGGATATGATGGTCAAAAACTTGATGCGTCGATCTCTATGAGCTCTGATGTATGCAGAAGACATGATGTTAATAACCACAGAAGCAGGAAAGATTGGAACCAGAAGTGCAAAAATGGAAAAGTGGAGCTACACGGTTTGAAGATCAACACCTCGAAGACCGGTACATGGGCGTAGGAAATCAGACGCTCGGGACCATCCAAATTGGGAACGCCTCAATCATGAAGGCTCCTGCAAGTACCTCGCATATGTGCAGATTCTATGGAGACGAGATCACCAGCAGAATATAAGTGCAGCTTGGACGAAATGAAGTCTCACACGATTACTGTGCGGTGAACGGATGCCGTTCAAGTCGTTGAGATCCCAGATGTATCGCAACTGCTTTATATAGCAGCGAAGGTTGGCCGTGTACGAGAGATGAAGAAAGAAGGATCAGCATAATAAAGCGTATGCTCTGATGGACGGCAGGTATCACCATGACATCACAACGATACTATAAGAGCCACGACGATGGTCCCGATCACCAAGAAAAGCGACTTCCACAGTACAAACACGTAAGAAGAAGGGAAGAAGTCGCTAGATTAACAATGTCTATCGTGGAATGGATAAAATCAAAGCAGACCTAGACTCAAGAAAGACGAACATTAGGCTGTCGCGAAGAATGGAGAAGACTAACTAGAGCAGCAGACCCATGTGAGAGAACATGCAAGGATAAAGAAGCGGAACTTATTCGGCCCAAAATGATTCCTCAACTATGATGGTGGAATCCTACTTGAAAGATTGTATCGTTTGAAAACATTGTTGTGTCAGGAACAATCTGCCAATATCTTTATTGAATTTCCAAACTGATAGATAATTTTTCGCCACAGATTTGAGAATTCGTGATCTTCAAACGATCCAAGTTAGAGAGAATAACGAAAATGTGATTCTTCGGCTGCTAAAGCTACTAAAACGTTTACGAAATCAAAATTTATTGGTCTTGATTTTGTGACCTGATCTTTCTAAGTAGGGAAACTGTATGTGGCGATCGGATGTCACTAAGAAAACTTACAACTTTAAATTCTTGTATTTGATGTTTTGTCTTTGTTTTCCGTACAGTGACCCTCCGTATCATTGGGAGTGGCGGGTGATAGGTGAGGTTCAGGTTTAGCCTGGTTGCTTCGCTTAGGCTGCAAAACAGAACGTTGATTTCTAAACTCAATGTAAAAAAAGGGGGAGTACACATCACATTATTGAGTGATCAATGTCAACAGAATACGTAGTTGAACTTCTCCTCGCATCGAATCTTTTGAGTAAATACTTGTTTACTTGAAATGGCAACTCTGTAGGTGTTTTTTATGTCAAAGATTGTTCCACCTGACCCTTGAAGGCACTGTTCACCCATAATTTCGACCTCCATGTTTTTGCCCTTGGACTTTCTCTACCCCTGATTCCGAATATCAAGTCGGAAATTCGCGAAAACCATGAAACTCCCCGTTTTCAGAATCTGCAGAGCGATTTCTTCGGAACGGTGATTGGTTGAGCGCGCACGGATGGGCGAGACGAACGTCACGCCCGCTCAAAGGGGAGGAGCCAACGTCGCAAATCTGTCATCCGAGCGATTTTCGAAGCAATTTTCTCGCTTTGGAAGCAACTTTGGGCAGGGAGTTTTCCTTTTACCATTGGGACTGGACGGCGCTAACACACGACAAATCTGAACGCTGCCTTGAAGCAATTTTTTTCCAGAAACAAGCTAAGTTCTTACAATTGAGACAATTAGCTGTAGCTGTAAATTTTGATAGCAATTTCCATAGCGACTCTTCCCATTGGCTCTCTTGTTTTATGCGGTCAATTCAAGACCGAATTCGATGCAAACGTTGCCAGAGTTGAATACCATCAAACTAACCACGGTCTCGGTAGCCACTAGCAGCATGCCAAAGAAACCTCTTCGTACGAGGACCAGTTGATCAGAACCTCGAAAGCAGGTTAATTAAGGTAAGACTAAGCAGTACACAAGAACGTCGAAGTGAACTGAAAAAAGACAATTCATGATTGCAAATCAAAACTTGTTTGCATGAAGCACTGTCCATTCCAAAAAGTCCAGAAAGCTACTTACTCCTCCATAATTTTATCTTGCTAAAAAGGACCAACCTCCATGGTTATCTACACTCTTATTGTATTGAAGTACATTTCAGTTTGAGAACTGTAAGAACCCTAGTTTTAAGTCGTTTTCAAACTGTGAAATTCTAAAGAGGCCTAGAAAGTCATCAATAAGAAGTCATCAATACCTTCTAGAAGTAGGAACAAACCCGAGGTAGAATTTCCTGTTTGTTTTATTTTTCTGCTGTGTAGCTGTTGTCATCAATTTGTCGTCAATCAGTTTCCTATGTAAACTTTTTCATTCACTGCAGGAGTCAGTGTGAGCAAAAAATTGAATTCTCTAGTAAACAATACTTTTGTCTTGGGGAGGGAAGATGGTCGAAAGGAAGCAATATCAAATTTGTGATAGCTTGATACTACAAGAACAGCTTGAGATTATACGGGATCAAATAGACTGATCTTCTTGAGCGGGAATGTGTCAAATTATAAAATTGTGAACTATTGAACAGATATCCAACGAGTTCGAGAGAAGAGATATTTGAGAGAAATCGTAAGGCTCATAAGGCAATGGTAATTAAAAGTGCAGATGTCACATAAACGATCGGTGCTCGTGTCCTAGATGTAGTAGACGGATGTCCCACTTCTGCTCGGGTTCCTGAAAAACAATCACTTTCTTCCTCTCAGCGGAGAAAATTCTAAATTCAAACATAATCTCTTTCTTAAAAATGGCCAGCTTTCAAACTTTACCATTTCTGAGGATGATGTAAAATGTCGAATATATCGATTGCTTGGGTACTTATTGAATTTCTGACATATTCAATTATCTTAGAAATCGCAAAAATCATTGATTTTTGCAAAATACAAAGGCAAAAGGCAGCCTCTCCCAAACACAAGACTCACAAATTGTAGCGAATAAATAGGAAAAAGTGGAGAACAAAAGAAAAGAGCCAATTTTTTGGACATGGCACGCCACAAACTTCGTCCATATCGAATTCATCCGAAATGCCAAACACCAGCAAGAAAAGTTTTACCATAAAGAAGACGTCTTGCTCTAGTTTGGAGTTCGTCATCGACCATTTTTTCATACAAATCGGCGCAATAATTGGTCATATCATAGGTCTTTTCCTGGGAGTACGTGGCCTAGTGCGAGTAAGTTTTGAAACCTGTTGCTGCTTCACATCAAATTTTATGTTTACGTTCAGATATTTCCTGAATTGCTTGTCCACAATGACTGTTGGTACAAAGATATAGCAGAAAGTCGGGCAGTAACATGAAGTATAGTTTGCTAGTATTGCACACTCAAGCATCATTTTCTGAAAAAGAAAACGATGGCGGGTATAAATTTTGTTTTAGCGCAAAGGTTTTTACCAACTTTATATAAGCTTTCTTCAGCAGGTGTTAAATCCGACAGTTGGCGTTCGAATTTATAGAGAAGGTCCCGGCAAAGGTCGGAGTAATGTCGCATGTTCGTTGTTGTAAGGAGTGAGACGAATGCTATTATCAGAAAAAGTTTCATGTTTATTCCAGCAAAGCAGCCTGGGATGGTGTTTTAGTTCTGCAAGAAAAATTGTGCAATTGTTAGATTGAATAAGGGTCTTGCACCGAATATGTGTAACTTTCAATTACTCCTTTAATAAATCTGTAAAGAACTAATAAACTTTGGGGGAAGAACTCATGAGCATCCTGTTAGGTTGATGCATAATTCACCAAAATTTTTGAAATTCTGGTACTTTCTTCAACTTCGATGAATTTTTTTGTTTTGATAAAAAGCAAAAAGAGAAAATTTTGCGCTTCCTGCGTATGTTTGGAAAAAAATTTAAGAGCGCATGACAAACGATATGAGGTGATCAAGAGAATTACCTAAAAAGTAATTTTTCGATTTTTGATCGCTAGAATTGCTTGAATGTCTCTTGAGGATTGAATTTATTATTTTTGCTTGGTTTTATGTATAATCTACACATGTTGACTGAGAGAAAATGGTACTGATTGGATGTCTGTCCTTACCAATAGTTATGAATTTCGAGTTTTCAAATCGACTCGATTTTTGATTGATTTTCTGAGTGATTATTTCATATTAATTTTCTAGAATGCACTACAAAATACCACTACGAATTTTTTCTATTTTTTGAATCAAGGATTGTGCATCAACCTGGTAGTAACGCTTCATTTTGTCATATCCCTTCCATAGAAGCAGAAAAACGCATACTCTCAAATGAACTTTTTTGTAGCGGTTACCAATGCTAAAAGGGATCAAAAATCTGAATTTCTTTTTATTTAGGATTCATAGCTTAGTATTCGCAAATGAAGTCTACTGATCGGAAGTTTCTACAAAAAAGTTGTGATTTCCATTTTATTTGATCTTGTTCACTATAATTTTCTGATATATGTAGTGAAATACTACACATACTATAAACAAGGAAAAAATTGTGCACTTTTAACTTTAAATGAAAGTTTTAGAATAAGTGGTGCAAGACTTATGTTCCAACCCACTGGATAAAATGCTTAGCAGGCAATGAATGATAGCTTCATTCCACGCTGTATATATAGGCGTAAGTATTGAAAAATCTTGCTGAAACATCATTTCTGCCATGCATCACATCACTTATATTTATTTACTAAGAATAGCCAGAGAAAAAGAAAAAGAGAGGAATCCAAATAAACTTTCAGGAAAAGTTTATTTGGATTCCTATGAATGTACTGAAGGTCACCGTCAAATAGTTAGACTTTTCTGTCAACATGAATGATTCGTAACATTTACGGTCTTTTGTTTCCAGACAATTGTTTTCAATGATTCTCATTATTTTGGAAAGCTATTCATTTTTGCTGACATCTAGATCATCAACTTGGCATTCTACTGTGCCCTTCTGTTTTCTCCCTCTGAAAATATGAAGTTTGGTTGATGACTCTGCTTTTCGTCATTCTTATACTTCAATTACATTCACGGAAATTTTGCACATTCTGAGAGTGGTTTCTATACACGGTGTCCCAAAAAATGTGCCTATTGTTTGATTGTCAATAACTCTATTGTAACGAAGTATTTCGAGAAGATTAGTGAATTTTCGGTAGAGCTGGCTTCAACTTAGATTTACAGTATAGTCATTGTGAAAAAAGTGCCATTTCAAAAATTTTCGAAATAATGTGATTGTGTACTGACATTTTCATTGACGCTGAGTTCAATACTCAACTACGTGCTATACTTGGGTAATTCGATAATTTTTCATCGAATGAATGAATATCGAATAAATTCGAAAAGGAAAAATTTCGAATAAACGGATATCGAATAAATTCGGAAAATCAAAAATATCGAATGAATGAATTTCGAATAAATTCGAAAAATCAAAAATATCGAATGAATGAATTTCGAATAAATTCGGAAAATCAAAAATATCGAATGAATGAATATCGAATATATTCGAACATTGGAAGTTGAATTTCGAATATCACATCTCAAACTTGCCGACATATCTGGCTAAAGCCGATCCAATCATAATCAGCCCCTGGTATCCCCTATACCAACTCCTAGCTCAAAATTTTCCAAAAATTGCTGAAATCAATAAAGATTTCGGTTTTGAACAGCACCCTCACTTACCTCTTTGTACCAACTCCCAACCTCGTAGCTCAAGATTTTCCAAAAATCGATAAAGTCGATAAAGTAAATTTTTATCCATAATCAGCACCCTCACCTACGTAAAAATGAGGCTTTGATAATCTACGAGTGTGACCGCTATCTCATCAGCTTATCTATCTCTTTGCTCAACTTCCATTACTAGATTCAATCCTTATGACCCTTGAGCACATTCGTGACAACAAACTTCGAGATCAAACATCTATTTCGTTTCATTTGGGATTTTCTGAGACTTATAGCCAGAAGTCTATTGCCGGACGAAGTGCACCAGTCATCTTCAAGCGGTCGCGAGCGTCGTGTAAGCGGCTGCACTTCGTGATCCTTGGGCGTTGTGCACCGTACGGGTAAGAACCGCATCTGTACACTTTGATCCTGCGGCTTTGCTCGACAGCAGACCTTATTTGTCAGACTTCCACTAGATTTCAAAGACGTTTAGCAGAGTAAACATAAAATTGGCCGGAGCTAACATCTAGGAATGAGAAACATTGCAGCTTGGTGTAAGCACCTAACGAGCTGTTCGGATTCGTAGCGCTAGGTGTGCGATCTTCTGAAGCAATAAGGTGGCCACATATGTACTTAAATTCCACAAATACTACGATACATTGCCTGTTCATCGGAGATTTTCGTCTTGTGTGGTATAAGCTAGTCGTGGACGAAGGCATGTGGTTCCCTCCGCGAAGCGAGCACGAATGCCCCTATAAACCCGGGCATACTGCAGGCATTTCAGTGGCGACGTGGTATGGCAATAATTGTCCGAAACCTATTTTGAAAGTGAAACCTACAGAATGCAGGGCATTTATCTTTTTAGTATGTTGTACACGCTAAACATTTGTGGTAAGCTGCCATTACATCTGAAGACATTTCCTAACTGGCAAATCGCGTACGGCGATCTAAACCGTCTAATCCTGCACTACAACTGCGATGTCCTTTACGCAATATACACCAATTCGCAAAAAACTCCAAGGTAACGAATAGGCAGTTTTGCAATATAACTTATGCAAGCAAGAGTGCTCACTAGTGTGCGCTTTGCGTACCACAAGCATGAGCAATGCAAAGAAGGAAGAACAGCCATTTCAATTCAGTGTGAACTTGAGCTTGAATTTGATATCTTCTTTGCTGATTTGGTGCCAATAGCAGTGCGAGAAATCTCATTGATCGAAAAAATATCAATTAAAATCCATATATGATTTTTTTACTGTCGCAAGCAGTCGAAAGAATGCGACTCTCCATACAGTTCAAAGGTATACCGGTTGCAAAAGATGCATTACCGAGTTTTGCAAAAAATGCGGACGAAGTGAGCTTGATACTCAGCAGTTGGCTCTGCAACAAAGTCGAATAATCTGAATACGGAGTACATTCGAATACGAATTCGAATAAACATTCGAATAAAACATTCGAATAAAATCTACTCGAAACCCCGTTTTTTGGTTATTCGAGTTTTCGAATAATATTCGAAACCTCGTTTTTTGATTATTCGAGTTTTCGAATTTTATTCGAAACCCTGTTTTTTGATTATTCGAGTTTCGAATTTTATTCGAAACCCCGTTTTCTCAATTATTCGAGTTTCGAATGTTATTCGAAAATGGAAGAACTCCGAATATCGAATTTCGAATACGAATATATTCGAATGTTTTATTCGAATGATCGAATTTCTATTCGATTCGGACCAAGTATACTACGTACAAGGTTGCGAAGCTCTCTAAATGGTGTAACCCCACTTTTAAGACATTGGAAAAACGGCCGCTAATGCTTATCTCGCATAACTTTTTAATGAAGCGTTATTACAAGTTGCGTACTTGTTATTTAAAATCAGCAACTCTAACTAGCTCAGTATAGAAGTTTTTAGGCTGTTTTGTTTCTTTTCTGAAGCGAAGTGTGGCCTTTCAAGCTCAAAACTCTCTTTAAAGTTTCTGCCGTAATCCTACAGTAACGCAGAGAGCAGGGTGGCAAACCGCTCCATATTATACTTGGGTCCGAATCGAATATAAATCCGATCATTCGAATAAAACATTTGAATATATTCGTATTCGAAATTCGATATTCGGAGTTCTGCCATTTTCGAATAATATTCGAAACTCGAATAATTGAGAAAACGGGGTTTCGAATAAAATTCGAAACTCGAATAATCAAAAAACAGGGTTTCGAATAAAACTCGAAAACTCGAATAATCAAAAAACGAGGTTTCGAATATTATTCGAAAACTCGAATAATCAAAAAACGAGGTTTCGAATATTATTCGAAAACTCGAATAAGCAAAAAACGGGGTTTCGAATAAATTTTATTCGAATGTTTTATTCGAATGTTTATTCGAATTCGTATTCGAATGACTCCGTATTCAGATTCTCGACTTTGTTGCAAAGCCAACTGCTGAGTATCAAGCTCACTTCGTCCGCGTTTTTTTTCCGCAAAACTCGGTAATGCATCTTTTGCAACCGGTATACTTTTGAACTGTATGGAGTGCCGCACTCTTCCGACTGCTTGCGACAGTAAAAAAATCATATGTGGGTTTTAATTGATGTTTTTTCGATCAAATTGTTCGCACTGCTATTGGCACCAAATCAGCAAAGAAGATATCAAATTCGAGCTCATGTTCTGAGTACATACTGAATTGAAATGGCTGTTTTTCTTTGCATTGCTCATGCTTGCGGCACGCAAAGCCCACACTAGTGAGCAATCTTGCTGAGAGGGTGCTGATTATGGATAAAAATTTACTTTATCGATTTCATCGATTTTTGAAAAATCTTGAGCTACGAGGTTGGGAGTTGGTACAAAGGGATAAGTGAGGGTGCTGATTAAAACCGAAATCTATTTTATTGTCAGCAATTTTTGGAAAATTTTGAGCTAGAGGTTGGTATACGGGATACAAGGGTGCTGAATATGAATGGATCGGCTTTAGCCAGATATGTCGGCAAGTTTGAGATGTGATTGCTTTAGTTATTCGATAAATCATTCGAATACCCAAGTATACTCCATACCTGAAATCTAAGTTGAAGCTAGCTCTACAAAACGTATCTAAAGCTTCTCGAAAGACTTCATCACAAGAGAGTTATTGGCAATCAAATGATAGGCACATTTTTTGTGACACCCTGTGTTGCGCACAAGTTTACAGCTAGAAAGCCATCCATCGCCAATCCATCGCTTTGAGTTTTGCCGTTGTATTTTCCATATTAATGGATTTTTTCTATTAAGAAAGAAGTTTTACGCTTAGTCAAGAGATGAACCTTTCATTCAACCTATGCTGTAGACTGTCGGTATAGTTGGATTTTCCTGTTCGGTTTTATGATTTCATGTCGAAATAATTCGTAGAAAGTGTGGTGCTACATTTGATATACAAAGAAGTGCATAGGGTAAGAAATTTTTAGTTTATTTACGCATTTCTGAATGAGCTCAAGTGTTTTTGGGGCAAGAATTAAGCATCCATTTTTTTTAGGACTGACGGTAAACTTGCTTCATTTCTGATACTGTTATACGACTCTTTTATCTATATGCCTTCTCTTGCTCACATGATGTTGGCTGTGGAACTCAGGTGCGAGCTGACCATCGTAAACGCTCATTCCATGAGCTTTTTCTTGCATATAGGAGCGGTAACTTTGGGAAGAGGAAATACTTGTGTAGAAGGGAAAGAGACTTTTGGTTTGTTACTAAGTTATTTTGGTCGGGTAGTTTCCATAAATAAGCCACTTCCGTCACCTACATTTCTGAGCACAAATCTTCACAAATAATTGGGTGAAACCTTGACAAATTGACGACTTACGTAATTACTCCTTTTTAGCGCTGTTTTTGCGTAAAAATATAGGCCCGTAGTAGGTCCCTTAAGGCGGACCTCATCTAGCATCCGGTAGCTATTGATTTAGATGCTTATTGCTTCCTAGACAATAGTGACCATGAGTCGGTTTGGTCAAAAGGGCGAGCCATTGGACTTACACGTGCGCGGCCGTGGTTCGACTCCGT